CCCCCCCCCCCACACACCCAGCTCTTGTGCTCTGGGGAAGGTTGGGCAGGAACCACCTCCCCAACTCCCAGGTGTGGGGGTGCCAAGTCCCTAGCTGCGGAGGGCCCTGAGTTTGGAGGGGGTCCCACGCCTGACAGGGGCAGGCCACACATCCGCCAGCTGCTCTGCTCGGCTGGGGGGGGCACTGAGCACCCAGGGCTGGAGCCCCCCTGCTGTGCGCTGGCCTCAAGCTGTTTGCCCCCCATGGGCATCTCAGCCCCCCCCATCTCCAAGTGCACCTGGGGGGCAGCTGCCAACTGTTTCCCAAGCCCCAGAGCTGAGCCGCTCCCCACTCAGCTGAGCCTCACCCGAGCTTGAGTGTGACAGGGGCTGTGGTCTGGGCAGGAGAGGCCAGGCTGGCCCCAGAGCTCCTGGTGCCCCCCCTGGCTGTTTGCAGGGGGGCAGGGGAGGTTTGCTCGGGGGGATGCTGCCCCCTGGGGCGTGCAGCAAAATGCCCACCTCCACACTGGGCATAACAGCCCCGGCCTGCCTGCAGGGCTCCTTGGGAGCCTGGTGCGGTGGCTTCCCCTGGCTGTGTGCAGGGGGCAGGACACGGGCCCCATGATCTGCCTGCCCAAGGAGCCATGTGCAAAAGGCCATAGCCCCGTCTGTGCTGGGAGTGGGGCTCAGTCAGGGACAGTCCAGCCCTGGCCCTATTGCTCCACTCGGGGCCCTCTCCCCATGGCCCTGGCAGCAGGTGGAGGACTCATCCTAGGGCCCCTGTAAAGCCACCGTGGGTGGCAGCCTCCAGCCCTGCTCGGTGCCTGCAGCCCAGCCTGCCCTCTTCTAGGGGCTGGCACATGGCATTAGAGTCTCAGAACCCACCTGTTTGCCCAGCAAGCCCCTCCCCTGGCACTGGCGCTCAGCTTAAACCTCCTGAGAGGTACCGAGGACCCAGGAGCAGGTGCCAGCTTGTCGCTGTCAGCTGCCCATCATCCCCCGCTGCCGGGAAGTGGGGCTTTGAGTGAAATGCACTGAGCTGCTCCCTGGGGGGCTGGTACGGTTGGTGAATATGGGCCTGAGCCTCCAGAGAGAAATGGGGCAGCGCTGGATGTGGATGGCAGCAGCGCCTGTGCCCTCCAGCCATCCCACCCCCATGTGAGCCCCCAGCTGTGTCCCCCTGTTCCCTACCACCCTTCTCATCAGATCAGATCTCACCTGCGCCTTCTGGCTCCCCATGCCCTCCAGCCCCCCATATCATGAGACTCCAGCGGTGCCCTCCAGCTCCCTGCCCTCCAAGCTGCCCACCTCAGGCATGCCCATGCAGAGATGCAGTCTCTGCTCCCTGGTTGCTGGAGGGGGCTCCCCTCTTGTTACTGTCTTGGACCCCGCTCTCCTGCCAGCCCAGCAGGTGCCATCATCCCCGAGGGACACATCGCATGGAAGCAATGGGGGGCGGGGTAGGGGGAGAGGGAGAGACTGGACACACAATGTAAAACAAGGTCAAACTCCTGGTGCTGGAGCAGCTGCCCAGCCTGGCCAGAACTGGCACTGCAGAGCCCGGCCTGGGGCTGGCACCTAAGTGCCTGGCACCAGCTGCCAATTACCCTTGAACAAAGCAGGGTCATAACGTGTGGCAAGGGCGAGACACCCACCGTCCTCATGCAGGGGTCAGTGGAACGCCCACCCACAGCACAGAACCCCCCTCCTCAGAAGGCACTACTGCTGGTGCCAACCTGTGGCTCACACCACGGCTCGCTGGGAGAGCTACCCAGGTTTCCCAGCAGCCCTGGCACCTGCACTCACCGCCCTGCCCCTTGCTAGTGGAACGGAGACAGGACAGGAAGTCCCCCTCCCACAGCCCATGGGACTTGCTGGGCTGAGGGCATCACCATAACATCCCAGTGCGGACAGTGCCTGTGGCGGGCGGGGCCTTGAAATCACCTACACATTAGATACAAACCCCTCTGTCCCGGCAGCGAAATCCTCTGCACTCTGCCCTATGCACACGGCTGTGGGCACGGCCCACTCTCTTGGAGGGGTGGAGCAGGTCTCAGGCCGCCTGGGTTCGACCCCAGGGCAGCCTCCCCCACCGCAGGTTTGTTTGCAAAGCACCCTGTGCTCCCAGGGTGGCAGCCCAAGGGTGGAGACGGAGGAAGGCCTGCGCTGGGGCAGTGCCAGGACAGACGGGCGAGACCTGTGCCCACGTGGCGGCGAAGCAGGAGCCAGACGGGGCAGAGGCTTCCTATGTTTATTGGGGGTCAATACAGACTGGCGCACAGGGCTGGAATAACTTAAAAATGTCCCAAGGCTCTGGCTTGGTACTCTACACAACCCTAGGGGACTCCGGGGCTATTTACAGGGGCTGTACAAGAGGGGAGGGCCCGGCCCGGGGTAGGGGGAGACCCACCAGGGCTTTCCCGGGAGCTGCCCGTTGCGTTGCTCTGCTCTTTAAAAAATGGGGCGGGGGAGTCAACAGGCCCTAGCGGGGACCCCCCCACCCAGCCAGGACACCCCCCATTGCCAGAATGCCTGCCACTTAGACGCACCCTCCAGCCCCATGGCCAGGACCCCTGCTGCCTTGCTTACAACCTCCTTTATTCCACCCAGCCTCCAGCCCCTCCACCGCAGCAGGGCATGAAGCCAGGCTGACCCCCTCCCCCCAGCCCTGGGCACGCGTGGGCAGCTCGTGCCCATCCAAGGGAGGTGCAGCCGTGCCAGGCCCCAGGTCGTACCAGCTCCGGTGAGGCCATGACCCACCTGGGGCCCTGCTCCCCCCATGGGGCCAAGGGGGCTGTACCCCGAGCAGCACTGAGGCCCCCTGGAGGTCTAGCTTCCCCAGGGGCTGCCCGCAGGGCCCCTCTCACCCACTGGCCCTGAGCTGAGGCAGCCAACCGGGAGGGAGGGAGGGCTGGGGTCAGAGCTGCCCCCAGGGAGGGGGCACAGTCCCTCGTGCTGCCCTGGGGGGGCTGCTGGGCAACAGGGGCGAGCACTGGGATAGCCATGGGCACCGGGGCACTTTCCCCATGGCTTCCAGCTCCATCACCCCTGCCCACGAGCTCAATCAACACTGTCCTACCCCCACCCAAGGGGCATCC